TAATTATATTTTAGATTTTTTATATTTAAAATGAATGTTTATCTTGTATTTTATTATGTTTATCAGCAGTTAGTTATACGGATTTAAAAATAGAGTATTAATAAGTTGTACCTATGCAAAATTACTTTTAATCTTAAATTTTAAGTAATATGCATCAATAAACATTACTTTATGCATAAAAAATGGTTTTTAAGAGTTTTAGTCAAATAATTTATAATATATTATAGATATATGTGTATGTCTTTCATTGGAAAACCCATAAATAATATTTAAAAAAAACATCATTTGTAATTTGTAATATTGATAGGTAATTGGACATAATAATCAATTACATGGAACTTATTTATAATCAAAAGATTATGATTTTTAATTTTATATTTATCAAAATTAAACCTTTTTAGGTATATTTAAATTAATTTGGATATTAGACAAAAATTAATCATAAAATCCTTTAGAAATTCAAAGTAAGTAGTACGTTAACATTTCAAAAAATTTAAACCGAAAACCACGTATCCATTTTGTAAAGCTTTTGTTTTCTCGAGTTTATGTTACCGTTTAGAAGAAAAAAAAATTGATAGAAGAAGTCTTTTTGAAATGTTTACAAGTGAATATCAGTTCCGCCAATGTAAGTAGAAATCATACTTTCTTTACGCTATAAAAATATATGATGGTTGGAAATTAAAGAAAGATGTTTATTGTCGGTTATAAAGTTTCGATTAACAAAGAGAAATTAAATAAATAAATAAAAATATAAACTATCAGTAGCCGAGAAACGATGGCATTTCAAAAACATTTAAACCCAATGTAGTCGATGTAGATATTCGCATGTGTGACGACTATAATTCATCACTCCAATTTTATAGGAGGTAACCCTAGCTAACTAATTAAACTCCTAATCATGACACTAAATCCAAGATACCTAAATTTAAATTTTAACGACTCTAATCCCTAACCATAATTACGATCATAGATCTAATTAACCATGGTCTTAGCCTTAAGCACATAACCACAAACCCTAAGACACAATCTTATTGAACCTTATTTAACCTTAATCAACCTCAATCTTCATCGACGAATGTTGTCGATCAGTTCTAACCCTAAGACTTGAATCCTAAACCGAACTGTGCAAAGTTTCAACTACAAGACAGTTACTTTCTTGTTTTCAAGTAAAAGGGGTATCTAATTATCTGGTATATGGTCTTCGATTCCAAGAAAATGTACACACACAAAAAACGATTTGTGTTTAGCATGAATCACTTGTACATATGTTTTCAACTTGCGTTGTTCGGATTTATCTCAAACATAGTATTGATATGATTCGTATATGAAAAATCATATTCAATAACAAGCTCTAGACGACAATGTTAGATGTAAACGACTAGATAAAGAATAACGAAACACATGGAAAGAATTTAAAGCTACAGATATCAGACGGAAACCATTGTGAACGATGTTGAAAATTACATGTATTATTGTTCTATTAACGAATTATTTATTAGAAGGCAATTTGTCAGACAAAACATGTTTTAATATAATACACAATAAAAGTTTGATTTGTTGGTATGGTTTTCTCTTGAATCTTAACGTCGCCATTACCGTATTAATTAAAGTGCAGTCAACCCGATCAACAAAAGAGAAAATAGGGTTACGAGAATCATAAGGTTGATATCATACAAATGAGCTTCATGTACACACTTCGATCAACTTCAAGATTTTCACCTTAAAATCACAATATATAAAGTAATTTTTGACCGAGTGTTTAAATACAAGTTTGTTCGTGTCTTACTTTTTCTATACGTTTCTTTGTTCGTTCTACGACCTGAACTTTTGTTTTGGTCAGATATCAAGAAACCATATCAAAAACTTAAAAAGATAAATCATTTTAATACATCTGTAATCGCCACCCACTAACGGTAGCATTAATTCATAAAGGCACTTGAATAGAGATGGCTAGTTGTCGACATCGGACTTAGGCCAAATTCCCCTCCCAAATTTATGTGTTTTTTTTTTTTTTGCAAAATAAAAATGGTGAAATATATGTAACATGTACATTGCATGTCTCTTATTCATGCTTTCAAAAACATTTATATTTTTATCATTTTTTTATTAACCTGGATATTCAACCCGCTATGAGAGCCGACTAATCTCAGGGCGACCATTTGCTTTGCAGATAGCCCGGAGTCACCGTATTTGAACCTACGTGGCCACAAGGGGATTTATATTCCTCCTTGGATTTGAACCTGGGACCTCCTGTTACTTTTGACCTTTTGAGTCAAATTCACGTAAAAAAATATATCAATATGATGCCAAATTCACGGAAAAAAAAATGATCGTATTCTTTTTGTAATTTATTTTGTTCGAATTTTCATTATTTTTCATCTTTGTTCGAGAAAAAAAAATAGAAGATAAGGTGTTTTAATTTAAAAAGTATTTATGTAACCGCTCGTTTAATCATATAGATTAAATCATCTAATGTAATGGTTGATAAGATGTTTTCTAATTTTCATTTATTTTGAGCTTTTCTCTGAACCTCGGTCTATATGTGTATGTGTATATATACACACACATATGTGTGTGTATGTGGAAAAAATCAAGAGAGAACCTTGAAAAAAGGAACCAGAGAACCATGAAAAATTCAAAATGGATGTCAATTTATAGATAATAAAGTAATCATTTTTTGTGTAATTTGTTTTGTTCCAATTTTTGTTATATTTCGTCGATTTTCGATTTAAAAGATGGTGGATGATATTTTTGTTTTATTTTTTAAAGGTGGTTATAACCACATTTTTTACTTTATTTGTTAGATCATCTCAATCCAACGGTTTAGATGGGTACTTCGATTCTTCTTAACAGAATTCTCTCCTGATCTCACATATATATATATATATATATATATATATATATATGTTCATATTAGAAGTAGAGAAATGATCTTAACCTTTCATCTGGTCAAGATTTACGGTTTTGACTATGAAGCAGTAGATAATTCCTCGTATGGTATGCGGAAGATGGATGGATAGTTTCGTAATTTTTACAAATAGGCGGCAAAACAAGTGTATATGTGAATCCGTGTGATTCACATATGAACAACAGGCGAAGAATGGAGTGAGAAGACAAGTTACAGTGAGAAGCGTAAGAAGATATTTAAATCCTTGATCATTTTTAATCTCATACTCATCCATGAATTGCGCTTTAGAAGATAATTGATTTGGTGCATCTCGGTGCACCTCGTTAGTGTTGACATTCAATTAAGATTGATCCAAGAATGAAGATTTTTTCTTATATTTCTCACTATAACTTTCCTTATCATCGGAACTCAACCCTATACATGCATATATATATATATATATATATATACATATATATATATAGAGGAGCGATCAAATGAAAACCACCCTCATTTGTAAAAACCGTACAAACCACCCTCATACGTCGATTTCATTGTTTAATCTTATTAAATTTTTTCATTAAATTGTTTAATCTTGTGAAATTGTTTCATATAATANTTGAAAATTGTTTCGGACCAAGAAAATATTTATTTTAAAAATAATATAATATATTTGTTTAGAAAAATTATATTACTTTATATTTAATTTGTATATAATTTAATAAGTGAGTGTGAAATACATTTGAGAAGTTATTTTTTTTTTTCAATTTCTAAAGAGATGGATGAAAACCATATATTTTGTTTGTGATATGAATTATGAGGAGAGAAGGTGGGAAACTAATGTAAAAATGTTAAATTTGTGTCATGTAATCAGAATGGCGTCTTATCGATATCATTTCATTTCGGATATGCAT